AGGCACATACATACATGCACACACATACCCTAAAGGGACCAAATCCTGTCTGATCTTGGAAGCTAAGCAGGTTCAGCCTGGTTAGTCCTTGGATGGGAGACCGTTAGTGAATACCAAGCAGTGCGGGCTTGATGTTAGAGGAAGAGACTGGCCAAACCACCTTGGAGTCTTCCTTGCCTGTGAAAACTCTATGAAATGAGTGGTTTCACCATAAGGTGACCAAGGGCTCGAAGGCACATACACACATCCTGCTAAAAAACATTAAAATTACTTCTTTGAGAAGAAAAAGTGAGAAATGACATCCCTAGGGTTGGTGACACAGCAAAGGCCAGTCGCCAGAGGTATGAAAAACATGTCTACATAGCTCACGAAAATCACCAGCTCCTGGAAAGGTGACACCAAAGAGAAGGAAGTGGAAATATGAGACTATTCTTTAGGTCCCTGATCTGGAAGGTATCAAGAAAAAGTAGTGATTTTCTTGATTCATTGAAACTATAGGAAAAGAGAGTCCACCTCAACATTAGGAAGAACATCCTGATGGTAAGAGCTGTTTGACAGTGGAAGACGTTGCTTTGGAGAATGGTGAAGTCTCTTTCTTTGGAGGTCTTTAAACCCAGGTTGGATGGCCAGCTGTCAGGAGTGCATTGCTTGTGTCTTCCTGCATGGCAGAATGGGGTTAGATTGGATGACCCTTGGGGTCCCTTCCAGCTCTATGATTCTATGATTTTACTCCCTGGTTTCATGCTGTTCTGACAGTGAGTGCTTTCCTTTGAAAATTGACTAGAATGTGGACTCCATGCTTTGCAAAGGGAACTTTCAGCTCTCTCTCTCTCTCTATATATATAGAGAGAGAGGCAACTGAAAGCCAAATGCAGTCCTTTTCCAAATGGACCTCTGTCCTCAGTTTGATTTGCTGCTTGCTTGCATGCCTTGCAGGCTTTGCACCGGGATGTTAATCATTGGCCTGCTTTTTTGTGTTTTCAGCAAAAAGGTTGGATGAAGGGAACGAGAAGAAAGAGAGCGAAAAAACACACGCGGAGCAAATCCGCCACGCATGACATTAATTATTGGTCCAATGGCAAAGCATTAAGCTGTATGGTCAGCCTCCGCTATTGACTGGTATAAGGTCTGTTTTTGTAGGGGAGGCAAAGGGCAAGGAGGGACATTTTCTCAAATTAATAGCCTGCAAAAATGCAATGCAACTGAAGCATACTTTCCTCTGAAAGCAGGGTGAGACTTGAGCCTCGAGGCAGAATTTTTTGGGAAACAAGTGGTAAGGCCCTCAACTGAGCTATACCAAGGGCTTGAGGCTAGGACAGTGGCCAACTAGTAGGTCAAATATTCTCAAATACAAGTGCAAAAACTTTTGTGGAAGTTTTGAAACTGAGGCTGGATGCCCATCTCTCAGGGGTGTTTTGAGGGTATATTCCTGCATGGCAGAATGGGGTTGAACTGGATGACCCCTTGGGGTCCCTTCTAACTCTAGGATTCTAGGATTCTATGGTTCTAGACCCTCTAATGTTTCACAAATGAAAGCCAGGAACCATGTGGCCAAGCAACGTAAGAGTAGGGTCACAATGGCAATAATTATGAATGAGGAAGGACACCCAAGGTAGGAGAAGCTGCAGGAGTTTGCTTTTGCCTGAGCCTACTGAGGACAAGACTCTGACTCTCCTTTCCTGTCCT